TTCCTTCTTTCCTTCCTTCCTTCCTTCCTTCCTTCCTTCCTTCCTTCCTGTGTATGTGCAGTGTTTGTGTCCATGTTCACGTCATTTGCATGTGAGAGTGCTTTGAGGCCAGAGGTCAATGTCAGATGTCTTCTTCAGTCACTGCCCACCTTATTCATTGATTAATTTATTATGCGTATGTGTGTGAGTATGGTGTATGTGTGTGTAATGCATGTGTGCACATGTGTGTGGGTTTGTGCACCTCTGACATGGAGGAGGAGGGGGAGGAGGAGGTCGCCACCAGGTATCCTGGTCTATCATTTTTTTACTTTATTCTTCTGAAATAGTCTCCCACTGAACTAAGAGCTAGGCCGGCAGCCCAGAAGCCCCTATAATCCTCCTGTCTCTGACCTCCAGAGGGCTGAGGTCACAGAAGTGAGTGTGGTTACACACAGCTTTTTTTTTTTTTTTTTTTTTTCCTACATCCAGCTTTTTATATAGGTGCTGGAATCTGAACTCAGGTCCTCATGCTTGTGAAGCAAGTGCTCTTACCCACTGTCATCTTTCCAGCCACCCACCCTATTTTTTTCAACGTTTCCCTCACTGAACCTGGAGCTCACCTATTCTGTTAGGCTGGCCAGTGACCTCCAGGGACTCACCTGTCTCTATTTCCTTAGCACTGTGATTACAGATGCATACTGTGCCTGGCTTTTATGTGAGCTCTGGGGATCTGGACTCAGGAACTCATGCTTGTGTAACAAGCACTTTACTGACTGAGTCATCTCCTTAGCCTCTCTATCCACCTACCCCCTACCTACCTATCTGCCTATAATCTAATGCCTATGGCTAAATTCATTGACATTAAATTTTCATGCAAAACATTATATCTTCTATCTTGGAAATCAGTAACCACTATATAAAAGTCACAACAAATTTGCCAAAAATTTATGTATCACTAGGTACAGAGAGATGCCCTCTCAGCCTTCATAGCTGTCTGTGTGCTTGGCCTAGCAGTCTCAGTGGAGGATGGCTTTTTTTCTTTTGCATCCTTGATTCCTGCACTGTTCTGAGCACAGTGTAGATAGCACTCAACAGCAGTACCAACAAAGGTGAGGTGCCTGCAGAGGCAGTCACTGTTCTTCCCTAAAAGCATTAACAAGAGCTAATCATTAAAAAAAGGGTGCTGGAGCGATGGTTCAGTGGTTGAGTGCACTGGCTGTTCTTGCAAAGGACCCAGGTTTGGCTTCCAGCACCCACATGGCAGCTAACTTCAGCTCCAGGGAATCTGATGCCCTCTTACAGCCTCCACAAGCACTGTACCCACATGGTGTACTTACCTATATGCAGGAAAGCACTCATACACATAAAATAAAAACACATAAAAAAGAGAAGGTTGTAAAGTAGGACTATGAGCTCTTCGCCAGGTTAGTCAAGGTCAGCAGAGCAGGAGAGCAGGTGGAGGGAGAAAGTGCAGCTCCCAGGAGCGCACTCAAGAGTGGCTCTGTCCTATGAAGTTTAAGAAAAACACAAAGCTGGGTGTCGTGGCTCATGTCTCCAATCTCACCACTGGGGAGGCTGAGATAGGAGCATGCTACAAGTTCAAGTCTGAGCTACAGAGGGAGACCCTGTCTAAAACAACGAAACCAAACTAAACCAACTGAACCACAACTCTTTGCTATTTTTGCAACTGAGACAAAATAGAGATTAAAAACACCAAAGTGACAGAAGACTCTTGGGAAAGTATCAAGCGACATAAAGCAGGAGTCTGAGGTGAGAACTGTCTGGGCAGTCTCCTCAGAGAGGAGTATCTCCTGCCCACTCAGGTCATCACCCCAGGGCAGCTCACCATTCCCCCAAGGCCTCCAGACAGCGCATGCGGCCCAGCATCAGCTCTGGGTCATCCTTATTGGTGTCCATCTTCTTGTCATAGGCCACAAGAGCGTCCTCCCACTCATGCAGTTTCTCATACCAGGTGGCCTGGATCTCCTGCCCAGCAGAAAAGGACCAATGTGAGGTATGGAGATCAAGGGGCTGACTCACACACTCTTTCCTAAGGTGCTGCAGTTAACCCTCTCCCCCCCCCCCCCCGCCATCACATCATGTCTGAAAAGAACTTCAGACTATCTGGAAGGAGCTTGTTTGGTAGAAATGCTATTCCCTGGGCACACTAACGACTGATCCTGAATCCTGAGGTAAACTGAGAGTACATGGAGTGTCATGCTCCATCACGTGCAGAAGTCATGGGAACATTAGTACACAGGGAGTTGAGGACAGTGGTGTCCGATCACAGCTCTTGCACAGGTGCTAAGGCCAGGTCTGTGGCACTGCTAACACTGGGCTGTGTGGCAGGACTGGCAGCTGCTTCCCCGCTGAAGACAGGAAGACCAGGCTATGGCTGTGGAGTTGGTGGAGGTGAACAAGACCTTTTTAGAAGCCCTGATTCTGCATTCTCGATGCATTTTTAACCTTCAGGAAATAAAATACATCAGAACACTATTACTTAAAATTCTCTGGACAATCCTTCTTCCTTCTACAGTCTCCCAGCCAATGTTCCCTTCTGTGTAGCACTTGGCACTTCTACCAGTGTCAGGGCGAAAGGAGGGATTCCACTGCCTTGGCAGACAGAGTGCCACGCTGATGGTGAGTGGTGTCCACATGAGTAGAAGGTATAGTGTCTGCACGCCACAGAGCAGAATGACCAGGAGACTATTTTATATGTTTTCTGTCTGCCTCTGAGCTTCTTCATCAACTCAGTAAATGGCTATTTCTACACTAGGCCAGGCTAGTGGCTTTTCAAGTGGGTCCTTAAAGAACATTATAATTTTGAGGTGGAATTTGTATATGACATATACAGGGCACACATTAGTTTCCCCGATTGCCTCCCTCCCCTTTCTAAATAAGAGTGTTGTTGATGTAGCAGATATAGTAACAACCACTCTACTGAGCTTCCTAAAAGAACCTTTTCTTGCTAAATCTGGAGAAAGAGGCCATTTCTACTGTAGAATGTGAACTGTATCTCCTCCTAGAGACTGATGATGGTACCAACACCCCATGCACCAACTGCAGCCATACCAGCCTTCTTCCCGGGATGCGAGTGCGGTTTGACAAAACAGTCTATCTGTGTCAGGTAAACTAGCCAAGAATAATGTCTCTATCATGACTACATTGGCAAAGAAAGCTAGGAAAGAGTGACCCACAGTGACCATATCAAGTGAAAAACTCTGGGATGAAGAGCGGCACTGATTTCCCATGCTGTACTTCTACACTAGAGGCAATGACTAATGTGTAGCACACCCCCAGTGAACCAGCAGAAAGGAGAGGGAGCAGCATATGGAGCAGGTCAAGTAGGGGGCAGGATATTTTGAATTGCAATGGGTTGCAGAAACTATAAGGTTTAAGCAATGAATCACAGAAAATTCTAATGAGATTGCTGTTACATAAATTGTGCTGAGAAAGCACGGGCTCTGCCAAGAAGAGGCAAACCATTGTCAAGCTTAATATGATTCAGCTACCTAAATATAACAGAAAATCCACCACGGTTTAGCAATAATCCTGGAGCTAATGGCCACCTTTAGAACCTGAAGATGGAGAGACTTTCATTTGCAGTTGGTGCTCTGAGCACTGGGGTTTAAGCCATCTGTTTGTAGAGCCCTTGCTTCAATCAGCACTTACTGGGGCCTAAGCTCTAGGGACACTGCAGCCGAGTACATCCTGGCCTAGCGGGAGTACACTGTGTGCTTTCTGCCTTCTGCAAACAAGGACTATGGCAAAAAGAGATTAGACAATAGTTCTTTCTGTTTTGTCATCACCTGGAGGGATGTTGTCTTAATCCAGTTACAGGCAATATGTGTTAAAGGTGATGAAAGATTGCCTGAAGTTTCAGTCCAATGTTCTGGCCACTGTATAAGGTGCAATGTTAGACAATACAAGCCCTCTGCCTCCTGATTAAGGCAAACCACTGTAAGTGATCTATATAATTAATAAAGGCTCCTCATCAGACATATGGATCCAGAGTTCCCTGACCTCCCAAGGTCTCAACGCTAAGTTGATTAAGTTGGTGCTTTATAAATTAAGGCATTAACAAAGCACCCTCTCAAATCCCAAGGTATAATGAGAATGTTTTACTAACAGCAGGGAAGACAGCAGCAGAGAAGCAGCTACATAAGCAATAAAGAAATACAAAGTCCCTCAGTTCAGGTATAAGTTAGTTTTTTTCTTCCTTGGAGAACTGGCCAGTTTCTTCCACAGTATATACCGAATGCTGCTACCTATGGGACAGACACAATGAATCTGCCACAGGTGACACACGGATAAAGGGTCGTGTTAAATGGTAGCTCTGATGCCAGCCTGCCCAGGTTCAAGTCCTGGTACTGCCATGTACTTGCTCTGTTAGCTTAGATAGGTGCTTAACCTGCTGGGTCCACAGTCCCCTCATCTGTGAAGGGGGTAATGACAGCAGGTGTTTCATAGTGTCACCCTGAGGACTGAGCCAGAAGAGGCACACAGATACTCAGCTCAAGGTGAGGCACATACTCAGAACAGAAACCAACAACCACTGTTGATTGGACTGTGCCCTCCTGATCTACGATGTTTTAACAGTCCTACAGCACTGCCTCTTTCCTCTTTAAGATACCGCAAGTCAGCGTTTAGACATACAAACTGAGGGAAACAAAACAGAACCCAAGAACACAAAAGTGGAAAATAGCTTTCAAGATGGCAGCTGAGTGCCTCCTTAACCAGGTCTCCACTTGCCCTTCTAGAAGGAATGAGGAGGCACTTACCAGCTCTCCAAAGTGTTTCATGGCATATTCTAACACCCCGGCAGCTGCTTCTGGCTGCTGTAGCTTATTGTTAATGCTGAGGAAACAAAAGGAAGAGGTAGTTACACTCATGCATCAGGGTGAGACGTGTGGGCGCACTGTGGGCAGACGGCTCACCAGCATGTTAACGACAAGGTCTTACAGACACACGCTGTATCAGTTATTGATCTGTCACCACCCAGAAAGTTCAGCTTGAATGACTTCATCTGAGAAAAGGTTTTTGATCTCCTGGCTCCAATCTGAGGGGTGGTACAGTGAATTCTAGTATGTGGTGCTCTGGGCCCATCTTCTACCCAGCAGACTTTTCTTCTCAGATGCTGCTCAGTAGGCAGTGAGCGTCCTGCATGTTAGGCATGTATTTTACTACTAAGCTATACTCCCAGCTGCACATTTAAACAAAAACTTTATTAGTGTGTGTGCATGTGCGCCCATGCATGCAGACATATACATGCCATGGTACACTTGTGGAGGTCAGTGGACAACATTTGGTAACTGATTCTCTCCTTCTACTGTGGTTTCCAGGGACAGAACTCAGGATGTTGAGGCTTGCATGGTAAGTACCTTTACCTGCTGAGCCATCTTGCCAGCCTGTATGATATAAAAAAAAATTTATAGGCCAGGAGAGGTGGTAGAGGCCTTCAATTCCAACACTTGGGAGGCAGAGGCAGGTGGATCTCTTGTGAGTTCAAGGCCAGCCTGGTTTACATATCAAGTTCCAAGCCAGTTGGGGCTACACGGAGACTTGTCTCAAAAAGTCAAAAAAAAAAAAAAAATTACTTGTATTTTTTGTGTATGAGTACTTTGCCTGCATGTTGTAAGTGTTGTACAATGCCCATGGAGGCCAGAAGAGGGTGTCTGATCCCCTGGAACTGGAGTTAAGAATGGTTGTTAGCCACCATGTGGGTGTTAGGAATTGAACCCCAGTCTTCTCAGCAAGATCAGCCAGTGCTCTTAACCGCCGAGACATCTTTCAGCATGGCATTTTTAAAAGTTCAACACTCTGGATTTGATCCTCCTGCCGCAGTGCTTGTCCACACGAGAGCTGTCTGAACTCTAACCCCTCATTTCTCTCCTCAGTTGCCTTGAGTAATAGCAATATTCACAATTAATCAAATTCACCAGGCTTTGAGCTCACAAGAGAGATAGCACAGAAGCTGGGCTATCCTGGTCAATGAATCAATTCCTGGGGTGGAGCTCTGCCATCCATGCTGACTGCTCCCCTACCAAAGCCCATTGTCTCTTTGGTCCCTGTTGGGGGCTTATCCTCTGCAGCAAGCCTTGAGGACCAGAAAGATTTTAGGGCTGGCCACTGGTGTAGAGATGCTTTCCGCTGCGAATCTCTGCTTTGCTGATGTCATCTGTTGGCAGTGCTGGGACCCTCAGATTGGAGCACTGTACCTGTAAGGGGGATGCTGGACAGTGCCACTGTACCTGTAAGGGGGGGCTGCTGGATAGTGCCACTGGAGTCCTAGAGTTGGTGAATCAGAGAGGATTCATGAGGTGAGCCTGAAAGTTGGAGAGCTGTAGGCCTCTGACCCTCATTCTGAGAGGAAACGACAACTAAAACCAACACCAAGCACAGCCTGCTGCTGGTATGGAAGACAGGGACAGGAACGTGCTGCAGCAGGCTTGAGTCACAGGACAATGGCTGTATCTGTTTACTATGGGGGAACACCAAAATGTGACATACCAACTTGGGAATCCAGACTGATTTAATGAGCATGGATTTAGTTTGTTGCCTTGAGTACACACTGTCTACTTGAGTAGAATTAATTTTTAAGTGGTTTTTGGGAAATTCCAGAATTTGTATTTGATGTGGTAATATGGCAAGAGGTTGCTGTTACTATTTTTTTTTTTAATTCCACCACATTTTTTCCAATAAAACTCAAAGGAACTGCCCAAAAATCTGATGAACTAAAGAAGTTAACATTTGTGAAAGTAATAACTGAATGCTTCATATTTACAAAGCACATTTCTAACAATCTTTCCAATCATCACTCCTTTGGCCTCACACATTGCTGAGAAAAAGGGAGAGAAAAGTTTAGATCTGTTCCATCTTACTAATGAGGAGACTGAGGCCCAGGAAAGGCAATGATATTACTCATGCTCACTGAATCAGACCTGTCCCCGTAATACCTGGAACAACTGGATATCTCTATTAAGAAGAGGGGGATGGGTTGGCAAGATGGCTCAGTGGGTAAAGGTGCTTGCCACCAAGCCTGACAATCTGAGTTTGATCCCCAAGGACCTACATAATGGAAGGAGAGAACAGACTCCTGCAAGTTGTCTTCTGACCTCCACATGCATGTGTATGACATGCGAGCACCTATGTATATGCACACATATACATATACACAAATCAATAAATGTAATAAAAATAAAAACAGAAGTAGATGACACAGCTTTGGGTTGAGCCCAGAAGACTTGGGTTTACATTTCTAAAGGTCCAGTTCTGCTAATTACAAACAGGTCATGATTTTGTTTTAAATTCTTCATCTACAAATGTAGCTAGGACCATCTCCTTCACTGAGTCCTCAGAAAACTAACTGAAATAAGGGTTGAAATTTCTCAACTGGTCCTTTCAGTGCTAAGAAGATCCATTTGATTTTGTCTGGGATAAAAATTATCAGAAATAAGCCAGGTGTGGTGGCACATGCCTTTAAGCCTAACATTCTGCAAGCAGAGGCAGGTGGATCTCTGTAAGTTTGAGGCCAGCCTGGTCTAGCTAATAAGTTCCAGTCCAGCTGGGGCTACAGGGAGACCCTGTCTCAAAAAGACCAACAAACAAACAAACAAACAAACAAACACACTGCCAGAAATAGCCTATGCTTGTCCACAGGAAATCTTGACATCTTCAGCCAAGTCAGAAAGTCATTAGTATGAGTTCCAAGGTCAGCCTGGACAGATGACTTACTATACCACCCAGGCTCTAGGTCTCCTTTGCTTATATGAGTAGAGAATGACCTTAAATGAAGAATTTACTAGAAGGACCCATTGGTCCCAAGAAAAGATAGAAATTAGAATGTTCTCTGTTTTACTTGGCCTGTTGAGGGATTCAGAAATATTTTTTAAACTTTTTTTTACTTATGAGTGTACTGCCTGCATGTAAGTGTACCATGTATATGCACCTGTGGAGGTCAGAAGAGGGCATCTGATCCCCTAGAACTAGAGTTACAGATGTTTGTTAGTTACCATGTGGGTGCTGGGATTCAAACCCAGGTCTTCTGCAAGAACAGTCAATGCTCTTAAACCGCTGAACCATCTCTCCAGCCCCTAGAAATATTTTAAATCTCAAAATGAAACTATAGCTTCATAGTTTCCTTTAGGAAAACCTTGGAGTTTTCCCTTCCTCCCTCCTTCCCTCCTTCCTTCCCTCCCTCTCTCCCTCCCTCCCTCTCGCCTTCTTTAGAGACCTGGAACTTGCTATGTAGACCAGGCTGGCCTTGAACTCAAGATAATTTGCTTGCCTCTGCCTCTGCCTCCTGGGTGATTGAATTAAAGGTGTGTACCACCATGCCTGGCCTTGATGAATTTTTTAAAGCTGAGAATGCAATGCTATGCCAATGAACAAACTCTACCATGGGTCTGCTGTGCAGCAGGGCCACAAACTTCTGGACCCAGTACTGGACTCTGGGATCCATTCACATGGGATAGGGTGAACTAGATTGCTAATACACATTACTAGGTATAGATCTGTCACTATTTAGTTCCTTAAGCCCAGAGGTTTTGAAAATACAACAGGAAGGAGAAAGCCATTTTATATTCCCTGTAACATATGATTACATATTCTCAGTATTTTAGACAGTGAACTCTTGAGACGGCCTTGGTAGGGTGGAATTGTCCTGATAAGGAAATTAAAGTTCCCGTTGCCTAACTAGACAGAAAATGGTAACTCTAAGAAACTGACATAAAAATCTAGACATTCAGGCTGGGGATGTAGCTCAGTGGCAGGACAGTTTCCCAGCAGACACAGGGTACCATCCCTAGCATACACACACACACACACACACACACACACACTCTCTCT